TCCTCTATGTATGAGACTGCTTCCCGTTATTAGCCTTAGCCACATGATGGACTCTGCAACAGTACTTTGCTTTAACAAATGTAGCCCATAGAGATTTCTGTGTTCTGAAGCTCCACTATCTTTTACAAGCAAACAAATCACTAATCTCTTCAAGTCTTCTAACTCCAATCCCCCCTTCCTCCTTGGGCCAGCATAGATTTGCCCATGAACTCTAGTGGAGTTTGTCGTTGCCACAACAAAATCTAGCCAAGTGTCTTTCAATTAGCTTGAAAGTTCCTTTGGGCGGGTCCATTGCCGCCAATGTATAAGTTGGAATTACTTGTAACACATGCTGAATGAGAATCATTTTGCCCCCATATGATAATTGTTTACTTTGCCACCCCGATAGTCTTTTAACAATTTTGGTTACTAGGTCATCAAAGCATTCTAATTTCTTCCTTCCTACAAATAAAGGACACCCCAAATATGTGAAAGGAAATAACTTGTGTCTAAAACCAGTTCTGTCTATTATGTTGTTGATTCTGGAGATTGAGGCCTTTGGAACGGTGCAGAAAAAACTCTTGTCCTCATTGACCTTTTGTCCGGAGCTTTTTTCATATAACTTTACTTGCTTCATTATCAGCTTCATTGTTTTCTTCTTCCCAACACAGAAAATTACTATATCATCAGCATATGCAAGATGGTTCACCTTTGGTCCCCTAGTGTTCATTGAAAAATGGACAAATTATGGGTTATCATGTAACCTATTCAACAACCTTGATAGTACCTCTGCACCAAGTATGAAAAGAGACGGGAACAGTGGATCCCCCTGTTTTAGTCCATGTGAAGAAGTGAAAAATCCTTTTCTTGACCCATTAATTATGATTGAATACCAGACCTCCGAAACCAATCTTCATACTACATCTAACCACAAATCAGAAAATCCAAATTACCTTAACACAGAAATAAGAAAATTNCCCCCCCCCCCCCCCATTATGTTGATTCACCCTTTGCACTATTTCATGTGCTAAGAGTACATTGTCTGTAATCAATCAATCATTGACAAAACAATTCTGATTTTCAGATATTAGATTAGGGAGTAAATGATTCAATCTCCTAGCTAAAACTTTGAAAATGATTTTGGCAGAAAAGTTACTAAGACTTATAGGTCTAAACTATAAAAAAAAATGAGGGAGATTTAACTTTAGGAATCAAAGCAAGACATGTGTGATATTAGAATTTAGTTAACTTATTACCCCTAAAAAAGCTCTGCAAAAATTTTACTACATCCCCTTTGATGATATGCCAATATTTATGATAAAATATACCATTAAATCCGTCTGGTCCAGCTGAGCTTGTAGAGCTCAAGTCATACACAACTTCCTTTACTTCCTCCTCATCAGGCATTCCTGATAGTATTGTATTATCTTCTTCCGATATCAGTCTGGGAATACAACTGATTGTGTCGTCATCGACCTCAACAGATGGAAAGTTAAATTGCTTTTCAAAGTGTCTGATTACAGCTTTTGATATCTTGTCTTCTCTCTGCATCCACCTCCCTCTTCTATTCTTGATTCTATATATATGCATCCTTCTTCTCTAGTCTTTGATAGTCTTGTGAAAATACCTACTATTGCAGTCTCCCTCCTCAAGCCATTTGACTCAGGATTTCTGTTTTAGTAGGTCTTCCTACATGGCCATCCATTTTACATATTCAGCATGTGCTTTGTTTAGCTCTTCCCTAGAGTTCTCATTATTGTCAATGGAATCAAGCTCTTCCAAATTTTGCATATCAGCTTTCCATTCATGGAATTTTTGATATACATCACCAATATCTTCCCTAGACCACCTGCTTAGTCTTCTCCCAGTATTTTACGCTTTTGTTGTAACCTCCACATAGAGTTACCAGAGATTTCTATGTCCAGGTTTCTCTAACCAGATCATAAAATCCTGGCTGCTCCACCCAAAAATTGAGAAACCTAAAATATTTTATGTCATCATGTTGATCTGAGAAGTACCTCAACAATAATGGTCTATGATCTGAAGCAGTCCTGCTGAGCTGTCTAACAACAATGTTCTGAAACTTATCATTCCAACAGTCATTAAACATGATCCTGTCCAACCTTTTCCAAATTCTTTTACTATGTCTCCGATTATTGCACCAGGTGAAGTTAGAGCCTACATACCTTGCATCCACCATCCCACATCCATCGATACAAGCAGCAAAGTCAAAGCTCCTATGCGTGCTGTGTGGTCTACCTCCTAGTTTCTCTATAGGATCTAGTATTACATTAAAATCCCCCCCCCCCCAATACATCAAGGACCATCCACTTGAGCTTCTAACTCAGCGAGGATCTCCCAAAGTTCCTTTCTTTCTATAGCAGTACACTTAGCATATACCGCAGAGACAGTAATATTCTTATCACCAGCATTGTCCTGAAAATTGATAGTAATTTGTTGATCATCACTAGAAATAATATTTCCTTGTAAATTATTACTCCATAAGCACTAAATCTGCCCCACCTCATTTGCAAAATAATGTTGGAAACCCAGAAACCTCTTGTACCCTTCGATTTTATCCTTGCTGATAAATGGCTCAAAGACAGCTACAAACTGCACACCATTTATTCCAACCAAGTTTTTCAATCTGTGAATTACTTTTTTTGATCTAACCCCTCTAATGTTCCAAAAAATTGCACTGATCATTAGAAGGATTAATTATTTTGTGTCCTCCCCTTAATCTCAAGGTTAGACTAATTTCTTTCTTTTCTTCCACTTTTTCTCTGTCCACTGCTTCCCCTTCTTCCCGGGAACAGACCTCCTTTTTCTATTACCTCCTTCAAATATATTTGTGTTGGATCTTCAAGTTCATTCTCCTTATCCGAAGCAGGTGAAAAAACATCTATGAGATTATGGGCAGTCTCATCTCTAGAGTTTTCATCCACCTGCCCGGATAAATGAGTTTGTGGCTGGCCTCTATTTGTTTCAACGACAAGCTGAATTCCTTCTTGTCTTTTAATTTTTGAACCCAAATAGGATGATTCCATGATTGATGTATCCTCCATTTGATTGCCACTCCCTGTTGTAGAATTAGTTTTTGATCCTCTGTTAACCTTAGAGCATATGTGATGTACATTTTTCTCATTTGTATTGCTTAATTCATTTTCCAAGTTCTGTTCGAACCTTTTGTCCTCCTCAACTGCATTTAAATTTTTTAGTGAACTTCCTGTACTTTTATCCAGCATACTCTCCTCGATCACTTCCTGAGCCCCTTGATCTATCTGCTTGTGTTTTTTCTTCTTGGTTCCCACATGTGCCAGTTTCACTGGTTTAAAAGTTACTTTGGCTTTATTCTTAGCTACTTTCTTTGCCTTCACCTTGTTCTTCTTTAGCATTTTAATTCTTTCAGCTATCGTCATACTTTCAGCAGAATTGCTTGTTATCTCAACTTTGTTTGTGTTATTCCCTCTATTACTCTTACTAGCTCCCAATATATCTTCCTTGTCTGTGTGCTTCACTATGTCCTTCTTTTGTTTTGTTTGTTTCCCCTTGCTAGCTTCCATTGTATCTTCCTTATCAGTGTGCTACCCTATGTCCTTATTTTGCTTTGATTGTTCACCCATTTTTGATTTATCAGCTTTTGTTTCGTTAGACGGCTTCACCTTTTCCAGTACCTTTTCTTTGGCCACTTCTTTTCCCCTTTCTTCTGTTTCCTTGTCTTCCATCAACCTTTTACGCTCCAGCACTCAACAATTTATCAGTACATGTCCTAGTTTCTTGCAGTGCTTGCAATACTTGGGGACATTCTCATACTCTAGTTTCTGCACAAAACCCTTCAAAGAGGAGTCATCATCTTCATCTCCTACCCAAACGCTATTAAGCAATGGTTTGAGCAGGTCCACTACAACTCGTACCTTGGCCATACTTGGTCGAGTTTTCTCTTTAGTGGCCACATCCATCTCCAATGGTGTACCTACTTGACTTGTAATTTGACGCAGGTAATGTCAGGTGTGCAGGAGAAATGGTAAACTAGGCAGAAGAACTCATATAGGCACAATGGGTAAATCTTCCTCCGGTTTGAAGTCTGGACTCCATTTCCGGAGCCACATTTATTTCTGATCAATTTCTATTACTCTTTTGAACCAAATCGTGTTGAAGTCCTCATCATTTGTGAAGTCTAGAAACACATTGTAGCTGTCGTATACATCCATTCTAACCGAACCTTTCAGCGAGAATCGTTCGAAAAATCGAGATCTGATTTGGTCAATCTGGGGGCGAATCTTCAAAAATTTTCCCACAATTGTTCTTCTACATTCTGCTGCCATCACTCTATAATAGTCTCTAGTCTTGAATATTACCGCTGGCATTCCATTATGTGTGGTCCTTCTAGCCACCACTGATTCTTGCTCTTGACGAGTTGGAGTCGCTGGGGAGTTCTGAATCGTGCTAGCATAAGTTATTTTTACTGGAATTCCACCTTGTGCCCGACTCGTGCTTGCTTGGGGATCCTTTTGATGCTCAGTACGCGCCGGATTGTTGTCGTCCGACGGCTCCATTAGGAGGAGCGTGGGCCGTACTCTCCGTTATGCGTACAACATATCTGTCTCCTATTTTATGCGCGTGTCAAAGTACTTGAATTACAGATATGCCTAGCATTAATTAATTCCCTACAAACGATATATTGATTTCCTATATATTTACTTTTCCAAATACAAAAGGGGATATCTAAGAGTATCGTCTATCACCCTCTATTTTCGATGCAGTGACAAATTTAACTAATAGTTCCAATAAGTATTCCGCAAACAATTCAAACGAGAAGAGAACATTGATACATTAACAGACTGACTAAAAGTTTAAACCAGTCATCCTCAAATAGTTCCAACGAGAAGGGCACGCTAATCATTGAAGTATTGTGCTAGGATAAGCCCATGAAAACTGAGAATCCTAGAATGAACTTTGTTGTATAGCCCCTTTTATGTTACAAAATTGAAGGAAATTGAAATATACCAGCTGAGCCAGCATTACAAAATTGATGCTCAATAATGTTAACCAGCCCTACATATCTGTATTGCTTCATCATATTTGTGGAGATGCAATATTAAATGGATTGGAAAAGAGGAGAAATTTTTGAAATATAATTACAAAACACATGATGTTTATTTATACATCAACAAATTGATGATGGATATATGGATACATATTAGTAGATCCTGGATGTGTTGAAGTAATGAGATTTTGGCATTCAAAGGTGACCACAGTCATATTCCACATGAGCATTTGGGTTTTTGAAGAAAAGGGCCATCACAGCTATGACAATAAATTTTGTCAGTATTGGTCTATTCTCAATAAGAAGGGCAGTAAGATAAGCTTGTGTTGCCAGTTTTACCACCCTCATTCTCCTCTCTTTTATATACTGATCCAGTGCCTCTCCAACTTTTTCATGATCAAAACCTCCCTTTAATGTCTTTGCCAAGTTTCTTGCAAGAACCACTGCATCTTCTATTCCTGCCGAACCTCCCTGGCCAAGAAATGGACCCATCACATGCATTGCATCTCCAGCAACCGTTACTGTCTTTTCGCGAAAATTTCCAAGCATCAAGTCCCATGGTTTGTGATATCTCAAGTGAGTGAAAGATAGAGAATCCAGGTCACATCCCTCTATTATTTCTTGTACATCTTTTGGATGATCACTTGTTGCCTCCAGGGCTCTTTGTTTGATAAGCTCTGGCTCTTGTGGAAATTTGGAATCTGAATGTGCACATTGTAAACATTGAGTTAAGAATATATCACGTGCAGTGAAAGGTACACAATCAAACAGATCATATAAAGAAGAAGAAAGATGGATATACAAATACGCAGAGCAAGTATTAGTAGCACATATTTTCAAACAAATTTCTATAATGGGCTCGTGAAAAAATATCACAATTCAAGTAATGCTCATTAACGTGTTCTATCAATTTGAATAGGAGGTACCTGTTCCGTGATGAACATTAATAAACCAATGGACCAACTTATCATTGATCGGTAATCTTCCAAATTTAGTTTGACCACTTATGAGGCGGACAAATTCGAGAGGAAATGAGTGACCATTTGGATAACTCGTTAAACCCCTGATTGCAGAGATACGAAAAGTTTTGGTAGGCTTTACCCCAAGGAAACTTGACACTACTGACCTCGATCCATCACACCCGATCAAAATCTGCAATAATCACTCAAAGATAATGGAATCAACTATTGACCACTAACAACAAATGTGAAAGAAATACTTGATTTCGATTCTTGTCATGAAAGTTTCTGACAACAAATTCTTAATTGTCTTGTGACAAGGGAAATGTAATAATAGTAAGCCTTTAATTTAATAATTTAGCTTCTATTATCAGATTTTTTTAATGCTTATTGGTCCATTAAATTGATGACACTCAATACTGATAAATTATGACAACGCGCCAAGAGTTCTAACAAGGAGATTCAAAAGAGTGCTAGAGTGTCACAAGTGAAATTTGATCCTACAACCTAAAGAATTTGTTAGCCACCTTTACCAAAATATCAGAAGTTTCCACGGTAATTTTTTTTATCATGAGATTCCATTGAACCCCAGCCAGATCATACATAGTTTATCAGCGCGACGATAGATGCTAATATAGCTTCTTTGGCATTAAACACTTTCAAATGGTATAAGAATTGAGTTTGCACGATTTCGTAAGAACAAAAACAAAAACGGTACTTATATTCAAATATGAACTAGAGGAAAGAGCAATAAAGAAAAAGTACCTTGGCACCAATACGCTTTCCATTAGATAGTACAATGCATGGTAATGAAGTGAGAGGATCCATTTCCACTGACGCAATTTCACATCCAAAACGTATTGTCTTCGGAGGCAAAGCATCAGCAAATGTTTCGACTATATCGCTCCTTTTCAGACAGCGAACCTCCCCAATGTTCCTTTTCATACAATGGTAAATGTTTACTTTCTGTTCTTTCAAGTGTAGAAAAAGATCTCAGTTTTTTACTTACTTGTTATGTGTGTATTGTTCTTTGCCCTCGTCGATCCATGTCATTCGAGTCCTGTTTTGAAGTGATGATATACTCCATAAAGTTAACAAGAGTACAACGAGTTGCAAGTAAATCAAAAGTACCATTGTTCTAGCAAATGGAAACGCAAAGGTGAGAAGACAAAATAAGCTCTTGATTGTCATAGATGAAGGAAAATATATCACCATGATTTAACTTATAGATGCTCACCGTACAAAAAGCTTTTACTCTACGTACATAATTGGCATTTAAGTGACCTAATAGTAAAAATAATTATAGTATTTAATGTACATAAGTTAAAATCAATTCAAAACATAAGTAGTCATTTGGCCAATTTGACGACTGATGTTGTATTTACCTTCAGTCATTGTCTCTATAATACTTTTAATTATATCTTTAGCGTGATTTTCTAGTTGTTTATTATTCAATCAGTCCCAATTTATGTGACACGCATTCATTTAAAGTCCGTCAACAAAGAGTACCACACTTTTTAATTTAGAAATAATATAACTTTAAATTTTTTATTTTTCGATCGTTTAATGAGATAAATTATAACAATTGAAATATCTACTGCCTATGTTAGCCACAATCTTTCTTTCATTCTTAAATTCGTGCTCTATCAAACGCCACCAGATAAATTGAAACGACAAGGTAAAAGAATTCGCATGGTAAAGTTCTTTTCCTGGTTGTTTGTTAATGGAGGTCCCCAACTCTTTCGGTTGGTTGATCATTACTTTAAGTTAATATCTGCTCCCTGCATTTTGATTTTATATGGCTAATTAGTTTATCAGGCACGAAATTTAAGGATATAAAAGAAAACTTTTTGATCTTTTGGTCTTAAACTAAAAGTGTATGTAACATATTAAACTTAGTCTAGTGGTCTAAAACATGTCATGTTACTCTTATAAATGAATATCATTAATAATGAAATGAGAATGCTAGATATAGAAATAATAAGAGACTAAAAAAAGAAATAAGACACGTCTAAACCTTCTTGAAAACAAAAAGATAAAATTATCCAAAATCAAATGGGTAAGTGGATCATTAGAAAAGGAGAAATTGACAAAAAGAGTACCCTTGAAGAGGTAGAGAAGTAGATCTTAGGTGAGAACCAACACCAAGCTGATCCAATGCCCTCCATCCATTAGGCAATACACCTATTGCTGCTCCTGCTGCTCTTAGCGTTTCTGATTTCTCTAACACAACACTCTTTAGCCCTTTCCTGCATTTAGTTATACATATGTTTTCTTTCTTAAGTAAACTGCTTGATCTTAGCTAAAACTTGTCAATATATAGAAAGAAGAAGAGGAAGAAAAAGAAAAGTACTTGTGCAAAGCAAGGGCCGTAGCAAGGCCACAAAGGCCACCACCCACTATGACTATCTCGTGCATTTCTTCACAACCACCTGGCTCCATCTTCTCTCCCTATCACTTAATGATATCAATAAGTTTGTGATCTTTGGATACGAGGTGATTGATTGGATCTATATATAAGTGTTTACTTAAGTAAGTTTATTAGTAAAGAAAATGTATTTCTTCTAAGAAAGGGTTGAATTCATTTGCAAGAAAACGTTTGCCCAAATACATAAGTTATTTCTGTCTCTCTAACCCAAATAACGTGATAATTCACTACTAGAAAACTGTCTTCGTCCAAGGCATTCCGACCGATATTGGTCGGAAAGAAATACCGACCGAAATCGATTGAAAACAAAGTAAAATGATCGAAAAAATCAAATAAAAAATTATAAATAAGAATACCGACTGACGTCGGTCGGTTTATGTGGTCCCACAAAAAAGAAAGTTTGCTTTATCTGACACAGTTAAAATTTTCGACAGATTTCGGTCGGAAAATGGTCAATCTTTGACCAAAGACTGGTGAGATTTGCATACTATCTACAAAAGAAATGATTAATTAAAATAATTATAGAATACAGACCGATGTCGGTCGGAATGTTTAATTTAATTTTTTTCTGCCCTACGTCAATTGTTTTTTTTTATAATAAATAATTATTTATCATATAATTATAAAATTTCAGACCGATATCGATCGGAAATACTAAATTGTATATATATTTATTTATATACATACACACACATATATAAACACACATACATACGCGCACACACATGCACAGTACATACACACACACACACACACACACACACACACACATATATATATATATATATATATATATATATATATTCTCAAATTGTGTGATTTGACCGAGTATATGTTGTTATTGCTACAACTTATGTTTTAATATAGCACTACATCTTATGGCACTATATATTTTATTTTTAAATAAGTTACGGACCGAAATCGGTCGATATTAATGGTCAAAATGGTCAAACACTTATACACACACAAATCACCTCACCACTCCCTTCTCACCCAAAATCAAACCTCCCCACTTCGTCTCTCCTGCGCCACCACTGCTCCTCCGCCACCACTGCTCCTCCGCCACTACTGTCGTACCACCACTGCTCCTCCGCCACTGCCGCGCCACCCACTGCCGCGTCACTTCCAAAATCATACCCCTCATCTCTTTAAATGTTAGTTATCTACATTTATTAATTTTAATTATTTAAATTCTTTCAATTGTATAAACTAGGGTTTACAATTTGGGATTTTTGGGATTTTGTAACTAAAGTTTATTATGTAATTTAATTCTATAAATTAATTTGAATTATGATTAATATAACATGTAATATATATGTTTTTTATAGATATGGAATGTCGTCGTTGGACTTTTAGGGCATATTAAATTATGATTTAGGGTTTATTAATTATGAATAATATTAAGTGAGTTAGTCTAATTGAATGGCTTAACTAATTCAATATTCTAGTGTTAGACTATGTTGTATTTTGTAACTAAAGTTTATTATGTAACTTAATCTATAATTTAATTTGAATTATGATTAATATAACATGCAATTTATTTGTTCTTTATGTAGATGAAATATCGTAGTTGGACTTTTAGGGCACATTAAATTATAATTTAGGGTTTATTAATTATGATTAATAGTAAGTGAGTTAGTCTAATTGAATGGCTTAACTAATTCAATATTGATGAATGCTCCAAGTATATAAAAAAAAGCAATAGTAGTGGGGTGTGTTTCAAAAGTGGTGAAGGCAACCAGTATGAGGAAAATGATTATTATGGTGTGATCAAAGAGATTCTAGAATTATAATATTCAGCTTAGCCAAATAAGAAGATCATACTTTTCCGATGCAAGTGCTTTGACCCAACACCTTGAAGAGGTACAAATGTACACTCGCAGTACAACATAATTGAGGTTAATAAAAAGAGAGAGTATGATCGCTATCATCCTTTTATAATTGTAGAAAAAGTTAGGCAATTGTATTATGCTCCATATCCACTGTGGAAGGATAACGCTTATTGGTTGGTTGTAATCAAAACTAAGCCTGTTGGTATGGTGGAAGTTGAGAATGTGCTAGATATTGCTTACCAAAATAATACCTCAAGTGTTAACCAAATGGTGGATGATCAGTTAGAAAATGACTTGGAGCATCCTCAACGCATATTAGAAGAAGTTGATATGGAGGAAATGACAATCATAGAAAATGAAGATGAAGAATCACCTAATGAAAATGAAATAAGTGAAGAGGAAGAATTTTCGGACGAGGAAGGATATTTCGAAGACGACTAGCGTGTTAGTTTTTCAAGTGCTCTCAACTTATATAGATTTATATTCTCAATTCTAACATTTTCTTTAATTTATGCAGATGACCGGTAGGGGTCGAGGTAGGTATAGGAAGGATAAAAGGCCTATTGATCATGATGATGGTGCTACACCCTCGCTTCCTTCCTCTCCACACTTGCATCCGTCCGCTGTTGATGGCTGTCAGCAATCTTCTAGGCACACATCTTTTCCACCACATCCATCTACTCATCAGACTACCTACCATTCGCCCTCCCAGCAGTATTCTTACCATTCTCCGCCACAGGGCTATACCCCGCTTCCTCCACATGATCCTGCATATAGTTACATGGGTCCATCGACTCAGCAGTCACAGGGCCATGTGGTGATACGCTCGTCATCTGCTCCATTTTCTTCATCACCAACTGGATCGCATCCATCTAGATTTCAGCCAGCCAGATCGCAGTAGTCACAGGGCCATGGGGTATGGATCGCATCCATCTTCATCAGCGACCCCGTCTCCCTCTCTACGAGTTCGTCTCCTAGCATTTTTAGACTTCGCCTTCGGGATAGTAGCGCTGAGCCAGATGCCTCCCCTTCTCCTTACGCTTCAGATTTATAGGAGGAAGATGATCCAGAGGAAGTGAGGTATGATCGTTATCATAGAATGATCATCAGGCCTGAGGGAAATGGGTAAGATTTATTTATTACTTCTTTGTTATTGCTGAATTATAATAGCTAGTCTTGTTTATTTAATGTAATTTCTATGTTGTAGGTTCATACCTAATCATCGAACTAAAAAGATAATCACTGAAGCTCTTGGCCAGTTGTATTATGCACCCTATGCGACTTGGAGTAACTTTCCACCAGAGCTCGTGCAATAAATTTTTAACCAATTTAAGGTTTTAATACAATTCTTATCTATTTAAGCATTATATTAATAATATTTTCATCTAAAGTTACACACTCCATTTGCAGACTAAGTGTACCTTGGAAGACTAGCATAACAGTTCCATTCTTGCAAATTTTAAGTTCAAATGCCGTAAGAGACTATCCACTTCCTTCTATTCTGCTCGAAAGAAGAGCAAGAAGCCTTCATGGGTTCTACCACACATATGGGAGGATATGGGAGGCAGTGGGCCACTGAGAAGTTCGAGAAGAAGAGTGAACAGAAAAAGAAGGTCCGAGCATCTGAGAAGGGTGGCTCCTTGCACTGTGTGGGCGTAAGGAGCATGGGGACTGCGAGGAGACTACTGGTAATTCCTTAAAATATTAATTCTATTTTTATCGAACTATATTTATATATTTTAATTTAGTTAACATGTTTTATTATTTTTGTAGAAAAAAAATATAGGAGGAAGATGACTCATGATGAGTTCTTCATGGAGACTCACATCCGGAAGAAGAAGGCACCGACATATCCAAGTAGATGGGTCGAGGACCGGGCGGAGATTACATATGAAAGTTTCATAACTACAATAACTTGAAATTAATATTTATAATTTTATATAGTTAATAATTTTCTATCTTCTAAATAAAGGGTCGCTACAAGATTAATGTGGAGGAGTACACTCAGAGCTTGCCACCGAATAAGCAAGGCGAGCGACCACCCGTTTCAGATAAAGAGCGCAGAAGATATGGTTAGATGTTGTCGGTGGTCCTAAAAAGGGGATAGCATACGGCCTTCCAGAGAGATCATTTAGGCGCTACAGGGCTGGATTGTAAGGTATAGGGACTTCCGCCTAAGCCCAGACAATTGATAGGTCGACTCTCTCATCTTTGGAGAAGAAGATCGCAAAGCTGACAGCAGAGCTTGAAGAGACAAAGGCTAGAGAACAAAAGAGAGATAGACAACTTGATACCATTCAAGTTCAGCTAGAAAAGAGGGACCAACAATTTAATCTCCTTCAAGGTCAGCTGGCCAATCTTCTTGCTAGTGGTGCTTTCCTCATTCCCGGGTCACGTGAGCTTTCCCCAGATACTAATCTTTCTCGTTGTGATCCTTTGAACCATGCCGACGATGAAGCTTCTAGTAATAAAGATGGAGAAGATGCAATACAAAACACTCATTGAATGGTATGTATTGCTAAACAAAGTTTTGAACTTGTGAATATTTAGTTGGGAATAGTTTTGAACGTTGATTGTATTGTTGATATTATTCTGTTATTTAACATTTGTATAGTTGTTGTTGTTATTGTTGTGGTTGTTGTTGGTTAATTGTTGTTGTTGTTATTGTTATGGTTATTGTTGGTTAAAGTTGTTGTTGTTGGTTAATTGTTGTTGTTGGTTAATTATTGTTGGTTAATTGTGGTTGAATGAAAGCAATGTAATGCTGTCATTATAGGATGGATATTGGTTATAATTGGCACTTGGTGTATTCTGCCAGGTGTTTACCCAGAAAACCGATCGATTTCGGTCAGAATTCTCAAACAAAAAAATCGGAAACTCATATTTACCGACCGACGTCGATCGAAAATTTCAATTTGAAATCTGCAGAAATTTGAAATTTTCGACCGACGTCGGTTGGAAATTTATTAATTTTATTTATTTATTATTCTATTTTTCCGACCGATTTCGGTCGGTATGTTAAAATTTAGAAAGAAATATAAAATTATTACATATTTATGATTCCGACCGAAGTCGGTCGATATTTTAAAAATATAAATAAATAATAATTTAAATAATACGACCGATGTAGGTCGGTATATTTATGTTTGTCAATCAAAGCGGTCAACCAACGATTGAATTAACCGACCTACTTCGGTAAGAAACACCGCCTTCGGTCGCAATGCCTTAGCGACCATTATTC